TTCTGGGTGCGTAAGATCGAATCATAATTATCTATGACGTAGTTGAGTCGAGGAAATTTTTCTCGGCGAACTTCCTTAACAAAGCTTCCCCGGGGAATGGTCCGTTCCGAACGGATTCGAATCGTTGAACAGTCTGGAGTTTGCTTACTCAACACTGTTGTAACTCTATTGCTCGTGTGGAGCGACGTGTGTGATCGATTGTAGATCACGATCCATCTTCATCGCCGAATGTTATGATGGTGAGAATGCTTGGCAGTGGCATAAAGACGGGAGCGATTTTCGTCGATTTTCTGTCGATTTTCGAGGTCTGGCTCTGTTACTGCCCGATCGACCTGCAGGATCGACTAGTTACTCTCCAGCCAACCTGTCCTCGTGATGAGTTTCGAACTCGGATGATTTCGTTCGGACTAGACATATCACCTTGGTTTCGGAAACAGGTCTGAGCGGTCGCAGCTTGAAGTCTATTGAGAGCCTACGAGCTGTAGTGCTTCTGACGAGCTCATGTTTGCGACAGATTTTCCGTGAGCGGTCGTAACAGCTCCTCTGTGGTATGTGTCTACATAGGGACTGTGATACCGGCAATGAGCATCTGAAGGGTAAGGCCAATCGTTGGTATCAGGGTAACACCACGGAGAAGGCTGAAGAGTGGGAAGATGGATAATTTGGTGGAGTTCTTTTCCTTTCCAAGCCCTCTATGATGCAACTCATACCCATAGCCGTACTGATTGAGTACTACTGAACAGTGCCTGGTGGGGCAGGTCACAGCGGCTGCAATTTTGACCTCGGTCCATCCAGCCGGTGGGGTTGTCGAAGCTGTCCACAACAATACTCTACATGTATTCACCGAAATGACGAGTGTTTCGAATAATTAGGGTGCCTTCGAGTTATCATGTTTGTTCATAATGCGCACTCCATCTCAGCCCGTTTGTTTGAGGCTGCTTGATCCGGTTTGCCTCTGCTGATGCCCCACTCCGACGGCCCCCAATCTCTCCATGCCATCGTGGAGAAGTTGGCTAAGGACTATCCTGACAGGTTAGCTGTTGACGGTCTCGATGGCGAGCCTTGGTCGTACAGTCAGCTCTACTCGGCCTCCCTCAAGATGGCGGTAGCCCTTCGAAGTGAACTGGTGGAGGGTGTTGAGGTGACAGGCTACTCTCTGTCGGTGGGCTTGTGTGCTCCTCGTGGGCCTCGCTGGGTTGCGGTGTGCGTGGCTTCATCGGTGCTGGGGGTTCCTTTCGTACCGATGGTCCAGGACCTGCATGCCAATACCAAAAATGATGGAGAAATTAGGAAGATCGCCGCTACTACTAGAGACCGTAACTCTGCTATTCTGAATGGCATACGACCGGCCGTCTTGGTCGTGGACGAGACCAGTACGCCTAGAGAAACCATCGACCTGGCTGTCAGTGTTGGTACCAGCAAGATTGTCGATATTAATTCGTTGCTCGACGGAGCGACGCAAATTGATCCTAACGAA